GTCATTGATTCAGTGCATTTGCCGCGGATAACCTCACTATCAGAATGATATTTATTAACTTAACTGCTACCATATTCTATGCCGTTGGCTCAAATAATGTCGGCTGATCGATTTCTTGAATTAGGCTTCGTTTTGTGAGAGTGTTAAGAGATTGTGAAAATTAGTCTGACTACCGAACACTTGATTAGTGACTACAATTCATCGCTGTTGATGCTGTTAAACTTCAACAATTAAATTTTCGGAAACTAATTTCTATGCTCTAATTTTTAATCTGATACTAACGTTTTTGATTTTTGAGAATTCCGTGATTTAAAGCGATTATTTGAATTCAATTACCTGTCCGAGCGTTTAGTTGGGGATAGTTCCAAAGCAATTAACAAGACGTTCAGTTGGTAACGATATTCACGATATGAAAAATATTTTTTGTAGGGATTCATCTGAAAGTTCTGTGATTATCCAATCCACATCTAGGGACTGCTTTGAACAAATCTTATGAGTAGGATCTACCTGAACCTTACGTTTTATACCACATTCACAGTGGTTCAGATTTTTTTGCAGTACGCTCTGAGAAGACGGCTGGCTGCATTGTCAATTCGTTTCATCTTACTGAATGATGAAAAGAACTGAGTTTTGCTGACGTAATCAGTGTGCTTTAAATCGAAAAAAATGGAATTGTAATGTGCCAGTTATTTAATATCTATTTTATATGATATGAATAAAGCGTAAGCTCACGAAATTATTCGCAGGAATCGAGAGTAACGCGCTGAAAGGACAAATTACATCGAACATTTGTTCTTTTCTGGTGCGATTCGCGCTGTTTTCCGCCTTCCTCTTCTATCTGCTGATCATTGTGCAAAGGATCATTCAAATGCTTCACCAATCGCTCAGGTATGCACTCTTCTTCAAGTTTACTGAATAATAGGTACTGAATAAATGAACCAGTTGTCTTCAATTAGAGAATAGTCTCTATAATACATCTTCAATTATGTTAATTAACAGTTAATTAATTAATTATTTCGTGACATTGTTGAATGTGACGATTCGATGTGATTCATATTGATTCTTGCTTATTTTCTATGATGAGTTTTCGGTCTCTTTCTACTAATTATAAGGTTCACAGCTAATTGTAAGTTTCAGAGCAAGACTGTCTTCACAATGCATGATTTGTACCCAATTGATAAGTGTTATTGGGTTTTCTTTTATCACTACGCTCATTTTGATGAAATACAAAAAAATACTTCGATTTGATCGAAGTCGATGGATCTGGATTAAACCGGTAGGTTGGATCGATCACGAATCTTCTTTCGTTTCGCATAATTTTGTCGATTGAATTCTCAATTCTGCACCCTACTTGATATTGAATCGTTGCGATTCCGCACTCAGACATATAAGCAATAGCAGAAGCAGTTCGTTCACTCATAACATTTGAGGAATCGAAATTAAACATCAGAGGTTACTTGGTTGTAATTAGACGAGTTGAAGTGAGCATGCTTTGAGGAATGGATGCTAATGAATGATCTAATAGTGGGATCAGTCTTCCTTGTAATCGTCTTCTTGCTGTACACAATAACAGCACTTCATCTACTCATCGAACAGCTAAGTCGTTCCCAATGTTGCTTCATCAATAACGAACGCAATACGTTTTCGAGACACAACAGTAATCGAAATCTTATCCTAGAGAATTTTTGATATGAAAATTTTCCAAAGCATTTTGCAAGGACCCAGTAAGGGCAATTATAAACATTGAGAAGAAATTGCATGCATAAGCAGCGTTTGGTATATTTCAACTTAAAATATTCTCAAAAATATTGTGTTGAAGTGACTTTTCTAGGTGACCCAATCACCGACAAGAATGAATGCTTGCTATTCTATCAACAACCAACGACACTTTCAGTTTCTTCGTAAAATCACACGAGAAACTAAATCACACGGCGGCCTCAACATCTAACCAACTCAGACGACTAACCATTTATGTTTTCTTCGATATCGTCTACATTGTGCTCAGTGCTTTTATCTATTCGTATCCGAAACAGTTGAACAGCATTCGAAGTGCATCCGTCCAAAGTGTTCTACTTGGCTATTTGCAAAGCTTTGGCCAATCTATATGGCCTGTAATCGGCGCATTCACTTGCGATGCTCCAATAAGAAATGTTCGACAATTAATGATCATTATTATTCGCTTAATTGAAACCTAACTAAGCATGTATTATGATGCATTTATGAGTAGAACCTTTCTAGTTGCTTTATGAGATAAATTTACGAAGATTATGATCGAAATTGTGTGTGAGCAATGTTCAATCTAATGAGAATCTCGAATTCGAGCTGTTTCCTATGATGATAACCGAGTAGAGCATGAGCAAACGGTGCTCCTAAGCAACTCTGATGAGCTCAATCCGCGTTTTCAATGATCAGCTAAACGAATACTTCCTTATTCAGTGAAGCATCGAGATGATCAGGCAGTTAGTTATCTTAAATCTACGTATCGATAAGCTCAACTATTGTTGACGCGATTTTAAGGCAATACTCGGACGTCTGCATCTGATGGTGAAGAAAGATCGCTTGCCGGATCGCAAAACTCGCCGACGAAGTCAACACCGCATGAAAAAATTTCAGATTAAAGCGAACGCAAGTCCGCTGTTTCAGTTCTATCCCAAAAACGAAACACCGAACAACGAACACGAACACCAACGTTCATCAATTGTGGCAGTTTCGAGAAGCGACAGTGCCGCAATACCACACGCTGATTCATACGCGCCATCCGTTGCTGGCTCGAATAAAGGAACGTAATCATTTTTTGTACGATAAGTGAATATGTGTATTGATTTGAAGTGATTTGCGTGATTTATAAGTGTGATAAATTTGAACTGATTAAAATAACAGCAATGAATTTAAATAGATTTGGTGGACTCAAATCAGGCGACTGAATCTAACGAGTTCTTGAAAAACAGTTTTGAGAATGCATAATTCACACCAGCACAATTGCCATACAACAGGTGCTATTTACTTATCATATTCACTGATCATTGCAAGATTTTTTACTTATGCTTATCAGAGTTGCTTAG